CACATACACGTCTTAATTCATTTACAATTAATTAAGGTGTCTGATTGACGAGTAGGCAAGTAGGAACGCAACTGTAGGCTGCTCATAAATCATATCTTGATATGACTTATTTGGTATGATTTTGCTGATATATGATTATGTGCAAATGTACTATTATATCAGGGTTGTTGCGAATATTCGCATTCGCATTCGCAACCGCGGAACTTCCGCATAAATTTTAAGATTCGCATTCGCAATAATCAATGCGGAGCCTTTGTACAAATTTACTTTTATATCTGGGTTGTTGCGAATATTCGCATTCGCATTCGTAACCGCGTAACTTACGCATAAATTTTAACATTCGCTTTCGAATTCGCAATAATCAATGCGGAGCTTTTTCGAATGCGAATATTGTGCAAGAGCCCTGATAAAACGTATATCTGGCAAATAAAAATTTTAGTCAACATTTTTTGCCTGTGGGGATGCTACGTAAAGACTGTCCCCCTACGTCCACCTTCTTTCGTCAAAGTAAGTCAAAGAGTAAGATAATATTTAGTAGGTATTTCCAGCGGAAATCGTCAACGGCTGGCTATAAAGAGAGTTGACTATTTGCGCGTTAAAAGATTACCTTTAACTACGTAAGAATTATGTAACTATCGAATATTATTTGACAAAGATCTGTTGAAAAAACTGGATGCATTTTTAGTTTTTTTTTTTACTTTTTCGTAGAAAAGTGTAATTAATTTTTTCTCATAAAACTTATTATGCTTAAGTTCTGTGTTTCCTTTTATTAGTCTTTTAGCTCGAAAACAAAAACATTTATTTTAAATTTGGATAAAATGTCAAAATAAGCACGCATCGAAATAAAGATGAAATGATATCGACGGTCCTGTGCAATAACGACACAATTCGAAATTAAAAAAACAGCGGCGAGTAATTAATTGTGATAGCCTGCATCTAGGAAAAGCCCAGCTTAGCTAACTAAATAAAAAAAACTAATCACAAGCTATTCATTAGAGGTGAACCTTTCCAAGAAGTCACCCGGGAACTAATCAGATCTGAGACCTTTATCGTGCGTGAATCCAATAATTCAAATTATTATAAAAACCGGGGTAGCTTGTTAACAAAATAACAAGATTTTAAACTAATTCTGCTGACAGCCACGACTTTCAAAACATAATTTTAATCGAAATTTTCATTCCTAGAAAATAACAATTTATTTGCCATATCCACCTATTCACAACGTCGCTATAAGTACACATTTTTCAAACCAGTCACAGAAGACAGGATTAAAAATGAATTACAAAAACTAAACTCGAAAAACGCTGATGACATAACAGGTTCTCCAAATTCTGAAACAACAAAAAGAATTGGTTCTCCAAATTGCAACACAACGGCATTTAAACAACGATCTCGCCATGATGCTAGATTGTGAAGATGAGAGTTAGGAGGATACATCCGACATTTGCAGCCCCGATGCAATTATCAAAAAGGAATTATTGCACCGCAATAAAAAAAGAAATATAACTGAAAGTCCTCTCAACTGGGCAGCGTCAATCGAAAAGAATTTACAATTTTGTCAAGTTTCAAGTTTTTCCAAGTTAGTGGCGCAGGTTTAATTTTGACCAAAATTCATAAAAAATATTTCACATCCGCATTCGCATCCGCATCCGCATTCCCATCCACGGGTGTCTAAAATTCCACATTCGCAACATCCCTATTTTATATATTCACATATGCATGTGCTGTACAAATATATGTAAATAAGTGTATACATACGTAGAGATGTATTCAAGTGTATGTACGTACGTTGTTCACTGCATTTAAAAATGTTTGCTGCTAGCATTGTACATTTTTTAATAATTTTCATTTACAAGGCTGATACAAAATTACAGACTTATGTATAAGTACATACATATGTACCTTCAAATAAAATGTTTTTTTTTTCTAGCGAAGGCTATTTGCGAGCGCTTCTTACGGCCCTAAGCAATTTTAATTGGCCTTCAGCTTGTAAAAAAAATACTCATAACATCAGTGGCGGATTTGCAGTCTGTCCGCCCTAGGCCCTAGAGTACCATCCGTTTCTTCCGCAGCTCCCATTATTTAAGTAGTACATACGAATTTTCTTTTGTCGAAATATATTATCGATAAAATTACACTGATACTTGTTTTGCTTCCTGCTAACATTTGCCGTTTTATACCAGGCATGTCCAGAGCTGGCACTTGCTTATGGAGTTCGTCTAGTACTGGACATGGGATCAGAGAAATTTGCAATGCCAACACTAGCCAAAACGAGCAGTTGTCGTCTATTGTATAAGTAAGTACACAAACTAGGAGAGCGGTAGCCGAGTGGTAAGAGCTGGGCACTACAAAGCTCTTAAGGCTGGTTATCACTATGTCAACTTCAGAGGCATTTGTCATCAAATAAGTGAAAACACATTGTCAAATGGAAGATCTATAGTCGTGTACATGCGCTGCTAAATCGGCTATCTGCCAGTTTTTGGCCCGTAAAATCATTGGTAAAGGTATAGATAAAGTTGTGTCAAAATATGTCCCCAAATTTTAGCCATTCCAACAAACTGATAGCACTCTTCCGATTCTCATCTTTTATGCTGAAACGCTTCGGTCTTTTCTTCAACTTCTGACTTGCTTAGTCAGGTTAGTAATAAAATTAAATTTATTTGAAGTTCCTTAGACCTGGGTGCTTCTACGACCATATAGATTTTAAGGGTTAAGTGTCGCTATATCGAGTTTATACGTATTTATTTTGGGTCGTGCGTGTCTTGTTACCATCAGTGTATTTTTTGTCCATATTGGCTCCTTATATCTGGCTGACCTAGCCCCGGCCCTATTGGGCCTTAGGGCGAATCCGCCACTGCGTAACATAAAGAAAATATCTTCCCGCAGTAAGTATGGATTTTACAAGGGCCGTAACGAGTACATTTGTATGCATGTATGACTTATATCTAACAAATTACTTTTTACCATTTGTGCGTTGAAGTTTGTTGAGATTTTTCTTGCGCAATACACGTACCGCCCTCCTGATGGTCGAATCAACTAACCACAGCCCCTCACTCCTTTTATCACCAGGGATCTTACCTCCAACTGCTGTGGTCAAAGTGGAAAGTACAATACATAAACATTAGGAATGTTAATCCCGGGATCCCGGCCTTTTGTAATTTGCACTGATGGCGATAATAGAAACTCTTTTTGTTGACCTATATTCCTTTTTTTATTTCTATTTAATTTTTTTATTTAGTAATGCGATAGTAAATTTTACACACAAAAATCAATATATTTGCAAAACCATGAACCAAATATAGTAAAACTGCGTTTTTAGTTTTACACTCTGACGTCAATAATTCAAAAATGATTTAAAAAGTTCAGTGAAATGTGCTTAGAGAAGAAGTATGGGTATCAAATTAAAGAGGAAATTCTGTAGAATTTAGTCAGATTAAATTTTTTTTATGCATAACGACTTGTAAGTATTGAAAATGTCCTTTTAAAATTTTTCCTTGAAATTTCGCAATATTTGTTTTTGAAAATATTATATCTTAAGGACTTATATAAACTCGATAATATCGTCGGATTTATTAGCTAAAAAAAATCCTATTCGTCGTTGTGAATTCACAGGTTTTTATTTTTTTTAGTTCTAAAGAAATTTCCCCTTTCATTTGGTAGGTACCCACATTTTTATTCTACAATGCATTGAATTTTTTAAATAATTTTTGGAAGCAATTTTTTCGATTTAAGTGGTTGAAAATTAATGATTATCTAGATCCCGGGAGTTATAACGGGATCACGGGATTGTGATAACGACATCCCGAAAATCCCGGTATCGTAAAAAGCAAAAAAAATTGACATCCCTAATACAAATACATTTGTACCTAAATTCAAGGCGTATTTCTTAATTGCTTAACTTCGACAATTTTTATACGATTGCGTTACCTCACCAGTTTGTTCAAAAATAAATGCACTTTAAGATAAGTACAGAAGATACGGCAACTTACATAGACATTTTTTTAATTAAAAAGGGCCAAAATTTAAAAAAAAAAATGAAGAAAATAGGGGTTTCTTAAATGTTTCCCATGATGTAAGTACATATAACAATAGATTGTTATACATCATCATTAATAAAAAAGGGAGGGTTCAAGAACTATAAGAAATCTATTTTCAAGTCGTACTCGACCCTACATGCAACTAAACTTTGTTTCGGCTGTCCACACCAGCACATTGCCGGCAATTTGGTAACAAGAAAATTCTACTGCATTTAATATGCACATGCATACATATGTATGTATGTACCTACTTATGTACATACTTATGTGAAATGGTTGGTTAATTTTATTGATTGTTTAGTTGCCAACATTTCACAAAACCTGTTTTGATATTTTTGATGAAATGCTACATCCAATTATTTTCGTTTAACACATTCGCCACTAATTTATTGCCATAACTACCAGCTAAACTGTTAACACCTTTGAACTACAAAATCCATTTAACTTGATTTTCACACGTTCGCTTAATCAAATTATCCCATCCAACTCATTCATTTAGCAGGCGAAGAGTTGGCATTTATGTACATATATTAATATTGTAGCTTTTATTATTTCTTGTTTGAACATTTTTTCTTAATTGCCATGAAAAATGCAGCTGACCATAAGTGTATCTGAGTTAAATTGTGCAATGTACTACATCGTCTAATAGTCCAGATGTTCCGAGTTCGAACCAAAGTGTAAGTATAGGAAAGTGGATCAGGTCGTATGATTCTAAGAGCATAATTCAGATCAGTTAGACTGTATGGCATGGAGTTTACTTAGCCTGCATGAATCTCTATCAGAAAAAGTGCCGCATCACTGGTTCACTCGTCACGTCAATAGAGCCCTTTTGCTTAGTTACCGGACACAAGCGTAGTCACAAGCATACAAAATAAAATCGCTCCAAAAACATTTAGCAAACCGGGACAATAAATTAAAATTTGTTTTGGTACATTTTATTTCACAATTAATTCTCAAATTTACCTTTGCAACCAGTCAATATGCGTTTGCAACGAACTGATGTAATGCTGTAAATCGTTTAGTACTTCGCTCTCGACCGTTAGTAATTTTTCTAAGCCCGATACAGATGAGAAATACTCATCTCTATTACCCGTTGCATAATTGGCAAAGCCGCAAAATAGAATAAGAATGTAAAAAAACATCCGACGACTACATCCTACTATTGTAGACATGATTATCTGAAAATCTTGTCACATTCACTTTCAAACTTTCACTTTTCAAGGCAGTTAGTTCCACGCAAATCGCGGCAGTCTGTGTTCACTTTCCGCCAGCTCCAAGGAAATACATATGTATTCTATTCTAATTATTACAAGTCAACTTGTGCGCTCAGCTTAACGTTCGGATTCTAACTAAACGGCAGATATTTATGAACATTTGAATTATACAACGCTTACACATTAGCCGCCGGCTTCTGTCTACCGGCTATTGTTTGTTGTGTGTAGTGATTTCCATAGCCACAAGCATGGCTGCCAACTTGGCTCAAA